CAGGCCATCGGATCCACACTGTCCAGTAAATCCGATTGTCCCTTTCCTCCACCTGGCTGGAGGCAGGGCCCCTCTAATCCTGATCATCATCACTCACTTCTTGCAGAAATGATTTACTGGTCCCCTCAAGAGGGTCAGACATAACATTCACCATTCTATTCTGCCTGGGGGATTTCTGACTGGACACTGGAGCTGCTCTCTTCTTGGAGGACTCCCCTTTCGTGGTGGTCTTCCCTTTCAGCTGCTCTACTCATGCAGCTAGGGCAGCAGTGGGCTGTCCACCCCAACTCCTCATGTTTTCTCCATGGTCACAGAGGAAAAACCACAGGGTGCCTCGTGGTGTGTACCTTCTGCTGACTTTCTCTTGGGTGGGGAAACGTTTACTTCTAATGGCTGAGACATCAGCCTGTGCAGGTAGAACGTAGGACATGTCTTCTTCCACTTTTTGGACACTCTGAGACATTTCCTCCACAGCTGAGACACAGGAATTCTGAGATGAAGGGAGATTTCCCTCATATTGACGGAACTTGCCAACCACTCCATCCACTGTTAAGAGTGTGGGGGTCTGTCCACCAGGACACTATTGCCAATGCTTTTGAGTGTGCTTCTGGTGCGCTCTTCAGGAACTTTCGCCACACCAGGTGTGTGCAAGTGGTCTGATCTGGGTCCATGGGTGATTGCTCATTATTCAGATCACCATAGATCATCTCAAACACAGCCAGTTCCCTGAGGTTCTGGATGCCTTTCTCAACACTGGTCCATTTGCCTAGCTGACATAGGATATCATCCTTGTAGGGGTGCCTCTCCCTTACACTGAGCAGGAGTCGCTTCCCTATTTCCCTATCAATGCCAGCATCCTTGGCCAAAGATCACAGCTGCCTCGCCTCTCTCCCTTCCATCTCAAAAGCACTGGCTCCATTGTCCCAGCATCGGAGCAGCCAGGTGCAAATCTGCTCACCTCCCAGGCGGCCGAAATCTCTCTGCATATCTCGCAACTCAGTTGGGGACAGAGATCAGTCAATCACCTCTGGCCCTTCCTCCTATTCCCGTGATGGGCCTGGCTCATCCTCATCTCTCACTCTGCTAACTGACTTTCTGGTATATTTTGTTTTCTGTATCGGGGCGACTGACACTGGAACTGAATGGCTCTCTGGCTCAGTCGCTGTGCTGGTGGAGGCGACTGAGAGTGGCTTTGCCTATCCCCCCGGTTCAGATACTGTTTCAGCTTCTGTAGCCTTTTCTTCCCCTTGAGGGCTGTGGCTCATATTAAAGAGGACACAGTAGGCATGGGCAAGTCCCCAGCACATTGCAGCGATTTGTGTCTCCTGGGTTTTGCTAGTTTGGTAGCACACCCTTTCTAAGCACTCCATCAGCTTCTCAGGGCTCTGCACTTGTTCAGGAGTGAAATTCCAAAGCATTAGTGGTGCCCACCGACTCAGACCTTTGCCCATCTTTTCCCACACCCCTTGCCACTCACTATTATCTGACCTGGGGGCAGGTACCCAACTGCCCCCACACACAGCCATTCAAAGGCAGCATAAGAGTTCAATAGCCCGTATAACAACATAAGATCCTTTATACATTTTCCACCGATACAAACGCCACCACTGGGATTATACACTGAATATAAGGAGTAATCCAGACCCATCACGCAAGCACGTGGGCCAGCATTGCAAACATTTTCTTATCAAACAAATACAAATGCAAACAGAAAAGTTACACCCAACAGATTGCTCTATCACACTCTGGTCAGGGTCTGTCCCTTTTTATTCTTATTTCAGCTTTCGAGCCCCATGTTGGGCGCCAATTATAAATGTGCTCGTCTAAGACCTGCTGGGATCAGAGAGCACGTTGCTGTTACCCTTCCCCCACCCGCAGCTGGTTGGGCTGGAAGTTAAACACAGACCCCGGGCTAAAAAATGAAGAAATTTAATACAAGTGTGTGATAAAACAATCTGAATAGCAGCAGTGGCAATGATAACAACAATAAACAGCAATAACAGTGAACAAGGCAGAAGATATACAGAGAAACACGGCAAAATATTAAGGGAACAAGCCCACCGTGTATGTCGCAACCCCCAAAACCAAAAGCGAAAGTAAAAGGGCTCCACGTCTGGACCTGACGTTAGCATTGTATGAATAACGCGGCTGGAGATCCCTTCCCCCTCTCTCTTTGCTGGGGAAAACTTGACCCTATCCTAGTTGAACCAGGACATTCATCCATTCCCCTATCTAAGGTAGGGCCACATTAGACATGATATAAGAAGCATTCATAAAAATTGAGAGGTTACAGTCTCCCTCTACTCATGTTGAAGCAGCTATATCAAGAAAATAAGTTTGAGCAGGTTGATCCAGTTTGGGCCACCCCTTCATACAGAAACACAAAATACGTTGAGACTACTTTTTTGGTTCTACTAAAAAAAAAAAAAAAAAAGTCCCTCTTAACTAATGCTACAAATCAGTAAACAAATGACATTTCAAATAGATGGATAGGGTGACCCTTTGAGTTTGCATCAAGCACATACCAGTAAGGGTCTAATCTAGTGTTAGTGGAAGTAGAAGAGTATTATTTGCTGCCAATTTTAAGCTCAAAAACAAAACATAAAGATCCCCCAGAATCTTCTGGGGTTGAGAAAAATGTCATTGTATTATGAACACAAAGTACCTTTCCTTCAACTCTAAGCTAGTTTATAATATTCAGGACAATAAACTTATCGTGTGTATATTGGTTGGCTCAAATTCTTTTAATCTCCCAGCCACAAACTGCTGGAAGCATTTTGAGAGTGTATTTCATGGAAAACATCATCATATGTTTCCTTCTTACACTCTCCCTTGGCCTACTAGACAACCCATAAGCTAGACTCTGGCCTTAATTGGTATGACCATTCCTATGCTTTCTCCCTTTAAGCTGGCAAGTACTCTTATACGTGATTAGATCCCTTGTGTTTGGTGCCTTCTGGAGGTCTGCTGGACTTCCCTAGCTTGGCTAGATCTTGCTTAGTGGTCACAATGAAGGAGAAGCACAGTTAAGAACCACTTTCCTTAGAATATATCATTCAGTCTTTTTTTTCCTCTCCTAAAGGGCTCTGCCATAAAATAGTTTTGAGTACCAACAGTCCATACAAGTAAGTCTCAATATTATGAAATAAAGAAAGCACACCACATAGATAGTTGTTTTGGCTCTTTGCAAACACAAAACATTTAGTTTACTGATCCGTTTTCTGCTAGGTAAAGAAGTGGCTACATGATTTTAACAGAACACAGGTTCAAATACAGGTCTGAATAGTAGCCACAAGGACTAAAAAAAAAAAAAAAAGTATGATTTCACTTTTCAGGTTACACCTACCAGTCTGTCCTATTCAGCTATAATTAGGAATCCTTGTCCAAGTCAGAATCAAAGCCTATTGACCAGTATCTTTACTTGGGTACACTGGATTAAAGAGAGGGCTGCTTCTCCTTCTGCAGTGCTACTACCACTATTCTCTCTGCCTCTTTCTAAGCAGGTACTGGCACTTCTGACATTTCACCACAAAGGGGCATAGTCATGATAATCATTGCTCACATGAAACTCCTGCATCTCTTAAAATACGATTAAGGAGAATGTCCTAATATTTTTTCGTTAGTTACATTAATTGCACACTTTGTTGGAACTGCTCACTGATCCTGCAGGCCATATCCCTGCAAATGACGAAGATCAAACATGACCAACTGTTTGATTCTTGTGACCTTTGGAAAAACAAAAAACCCACAATGAAATTGTATTTAAGTGACTAAATTTACACTTACTTCAAGTTAGTCCAAATTTGCTTTACTCAGGGCATGGGGTTTTTTTTAGGTAAGTTATATTTGCAGGTATAGAACATATTTGCAGCACTGCTTGAAATAGTATTTCAATAGACTGTCTTGGGATCTGTAATGTTTTTATACATCATCAGAACAACTCTTGGTTTGCATGACATTACTGCTTCACAAATGAAGCATTAAAGCTGAAAGGTTAAAGTTTCCAGCTCTGAAAGCTCTTAGGAATTTTAGATTTTTGTAAATTTCCACTGTTAGAAGACTTGATGCTGAATCCCTTGCTGTAAAAGTATTCTCAATATGGTATAAGCCCCGAAGTCAGTCCAACCTACAGCATACAGTTTTTGTTCCCTAACTATGATGAGTATAATAAAACCAAGAAAATAAATACATTTAAAAGAGACAGAGTTTGCATGTTGGTTTGGGGATTTGTTTTGTTTTGTTTTGTTTGTCTGGTTGGCTTGGGAGGGGTGAGGGAGAACTTAAAGTGGAACAAACATACCAGACTCCCATTAGTTTCCCTACTGATGTTTTTCAAGTCTGCAACAACAAAGGCTACTAGGTAGGTGCTCATCTTCAAACTCACAAAAAATTCATCTTGAACAATTCCGTTTGTCACAGGAGTAGTGGCTTTCTGCAGGTGGAAGGAAAACACTGTTATTAATGCACACAAAAGAGTACTAAGACACGTAGGGAATCGATATTAAAATCAAATAATTACCACACACTAGGGAAAGTTAACAAGCAAACTTGCAGAACATCTTTATATTTTGGTTATGTTTCAATGGGATAGATGACACAACCATAGTGTAACAAAACTTAAGGAGACATGGGACATTTTAAGCCTATATACCAAAAAAATTATTTGTTAAAATTTTATTATGCTGTATTACCAGACAACTGCATTGTTGGAGAAGCCATCAATCTAATTCAGTTCACACTTAAATCCCCAGTATAATCTAAAATCAACATAAAGATTAACATTAATTCAAGAGAGCTTTAGGCTAGATCTGAGACACAGCTCAGCATATCATACTAAGAACACTTTTACTGTATATGTTAAACATTTGTTTGTTCTCAGAATCCTCTTCAAAACTAGGTAACTGGATATACTCATTATTTTAAAACCACAGAATGAAAAACCCCTCACACACATACATATAAATCAAATGAGACTGTATTAAAAAGGGAAGAAAACCTAAGGTTTCAGTTTAAAGCAAAACCATGCCCATCTTAGACACTGCCAAAATTAACTGTCTGCTCAGTCTTCTGAAGTAAGAAAATATGGTGGCTCTTAAATTACTTCCAGTGCAGTTTTTCTTTAATATTAGTCCTGGAAAGGCATGCTCTATGCCTAGAAGTACTTTTCTGTATAGTTCTTCACTAACAAATTACATGAAGAATAACGAGAAATGTTGAAAATCACTGTACTGCAGACTAGTAAAGGTCTGGAGACAGGGATCACAGTTAATGTGCCTTCTGAAACTTCATAAGTAAGTTTGTTTCTAGAAACCACAAACACTTAAAAAAAAATAACCTTAGTTTTAGACGATCATTTCAAACCAAACAATGATTTAACTGCCACTAAAAATTTAACTTTCAGATTTAAAGAGGAGTAAATTTTTTAAGCCTGAAGACAGAAATCAATATAATCATCTAGTCTGACCACTGCATATGAATAGTATGCCACTGTTGAACTCCTTCAGCAAAATCATAAATTTCTGGGCTTTAATAGTTTCATCTTTGTAATGAGGTGACATCCTATTTAAGAAAATCTGTGGCTGCAGATAAACTGGTTCAGAAATCAGTTATCTTCATTTAAAAAACAAAACAAAACAAAACAAAACAAAGCAACAAAAACAAGTCCAAAACAAACACAGTTTATTTCGAGCCTTATTGTGTGTCAGCCACTATTATTGTCATATTAGGAATGTACATGCTAGATTGGAAGGCCTGCTTCTGAGATCGCTTGCTCATGTAGGTATTTATAGAAAATTATGAAGTACTCATTTAATCTTCTCACGGATAAACTAAAAAGTCTCTCCATTCAGCACAGATTGTTTCTAAGACCTGTAGTAATACAGAAGAATTGGTGCCACTTTTTTTCTGAGAGGGATTTGTTTAAGTGTTTATTTTCAGAGGAGAGCCTATTGTTGTAATGATCTCACCAGTGCAATATACTCCTATACAACATGATCCTCTTCAATTTTCATACTTCTTTCTTTATGCACACAAGAATCAACTCACTAGCCTGTACTTACTGCATTGGGAGCCCACACTACCTAACAGAATACTTAATCCAGGCTAAGTAAGCTAAAATGTAAGAATTCAGCATGTGCTAGAGCACTTGTGAGATCAGGGACAAAAACCATGAAATAGATCATAAAATCATGTCAGTTAAAAGAAGCTTTGCATATAAAAATGGGTACCATTACAAGAGGACTCACTGATACAAGAAATGCTTTTGAGGTAGCATATTATTTCACAGAAACTCCTGTGTCTAATTTCTTTACTTGTACAGTTACAAAAATAAGGACTTTAATGTAATTCACATGTGCAAGTTATCTTGACAAATTACAAAGCCCAAAGGAACCACTTCTGAACCCATTAACAGACTGCATGTTTAGATGTCATACAACAAAAGTGGAATTACACAGTATCAAATTATCAGGGCATAAAGTTGGGGGACAAAAGACTATTGTTTGCAGTATAAACACAAATGAGCAATTATCTTAGAGATAACGTCAATCAGCAAAACTATCAATTTACTTACTCTGTATGTTCTTATATCTTATTGATAAACTCTAATTAAACCTGACCTCCTCTTTCAACACAAGAACTCGCATTTGATCCCCAGCACTAAACATACAACTTCATTCCTTTTAATGTCTTTTTAAAATATATCTTTGTTCTACATGTGGAAGCTTTCTCAAATTTTTAGCAATCATACAGATGATGTAACAGTCAAGTTTTAAAACAGAGATGGAAATAACAGAAAAAGACGCAGATGAAATTTGTAATACACTCTTAGAGACATTCTCACTATAACAAGCTCAGTAAATGTTACAAATTAAAAAAGAGTGGGCAAAGAGGAAGTTTAGTGAAAAGGGTCTGATACCAAGAACAAAGGTAGCAAGACAGAGAAGGGAAATTAAAAAGCAGAGAACGAAATGATGGAAGAGTCTGACAAGATGGGAAGGAAGAAGAATTCTCAGCTTGAAGGAAGCAGGGGACCTTCTGTCTATGGCATATATAGGTAGCTGAAGGGAAGACATGTTGTATGCAAGGCAGAATAGGAAGAAACATATATTAAGATAATTCAAGTGATATGACAAACAATAGGGGAAATCAAAACACCAAAAAGATATGCAAGAGACACATCACATAATTTAAAAGGGAAATAATCATACAGAAGCGGCACAAGTCACGAGAAGAACAATTCTATGTAGAGAAAGATGGATAGGAAATAGACACCTTTTCTATGCAGTTCAGGAACATCCAAACAGTATGTATCTTATTGTGACCAATAGGGAAAATATATGTTTAAGACCATACAAATTGCAATACCAACCCATTTTTCACTGCAAGAGAATGTGTACAAGGTCACGTCTCCCGAATGTTAATTTTTCAAATGGCTTCCTATCTCCCTGAAAAATGAGCAATGGAATGAATGCTACTCTGCAAGCGAGAAAGGCTAGAAACTTAAATGTAAATGTGTCCTGGGGGAAAAGAAACAAGATGCAGAACTGATGACTTTACAGTAAAGGCAGCTCATCAGCATGTTTTCTCCATGTGAATGATTCCTCCTTGCGCACACATGTCAAGTACACAATATTAGTACCCACAAACAGCACCAAAAGAGCTACTGCACACTTTCTAACAGCACTTAGAGTTGAGCAGGGACAGATGGGATGGGGAGCAGCTCCTTCCTAAGCACAGAACCCCACAGGCACAGGCATTGCAGGACTGTCAATGCAAGGCAGGAGTTATGGGAGGATGCAAGACTAGCGCAAGTAACAATCTCTCTTTTCCAGGTTTAATTCACATGTCATGAGGTGTGAGAGTCAGCCATTTTCAGACGAGATGAAGATTCTCTGGCAACAAAAACACACTAAGCACAAAGAGTTGATGTTTAAGGCATGTTGGTCAGACCAATTAAACCATAATTCTTGTCAACACAGAGCTTGAGCTCTAAAGTAGTTTCTCTGAAGATTCTCTCAGGAAGGCTGAAAAGCCTGCTCATATCTCCTGACACTCACTGTTCACTGCATCAAGTGACACACTTGCACAGTTTGCAGGAAAACATGATCTGAAATCTCAGTCTTGCCTAATGCCACAAACACACGCAGAAGTTTTCCAGTTGACTTCTTCCTGTCCATTTGCATGGTTGCATGGTAAAGTTGCATGAACACCTTGCACAAAAGATATAAAATCTGAGTGAAATCATAGAAGAAAGTAAGGAAACTGATGGAGGGACTAGATTAAATAACTCAGTGTCCTGGGTTGCAGTGTATTCTATTACCATCCTCATGAGCTGTTGAAATCAGGTCAGGCAGTGTTTCCTTACCCGTCCCCACCCCCCTCCAGGCTATCTTTCTGTTAATGGCCCATCAATGCCATGCAGCATGACTCATTATCCCATTGTGAGATGCTCCACCCAGAGGGAGAAAACCAGCATTCCATCCTGGATATAATCTGAGATTCTGAATACCAGAAACACTCTCTTTTCCAATGGATTTCCAGAGGACAGGAGCTACTTAGACACCACTGGACTTTTCTGAGGAAGAGCAGATCTTCTTTCTACAGGATCACCACTTTGGGGGGACTGCAGCCACCATTCTATCAGACTGCTACCACCACCCTGATTAACAGGGTGTCAGGTTGTATCCTGACTCTGTTAGTTTAACCCAGTGTTATCTGACTTTTTAATATTTTTCCTGGGTGGGTTTTTTTTTTGTTTTTTGTTTGTTTTTTTAATTTCCCTATTAAATTGTTATTCTGACTTGGTTTCTCCCACTAGTTTGTTTTCAAACTAGCACATATTTTGGTGCTCAATGTGGGGCTGGCTGCTGAGAAAAGTCAGAATTACAATTTTGTATTGTAAAAGCCACGTACTCACTATGATGTTCAACATGCTTACATAGGTCTTGTACCTAGCTCTCTATATTTTTCCACACATGGGGAACCATCTGCTGATTTTAATGCTCCTGTGTAGACCAGGGTATGGTATAAAATTTGCTTTATTAGTCTATTATGCCTACTGCATCATAACCTCCAAGACAGTAAACATAATTCAGAATATATACTCAACTTTGTCTGCATGTCCTACTTCAGGCTGCTACATCTGGGGCCTCAACAATCATACCCATACCCTGGGGGGAGGATTAAAGAGTGTTCTTTTCCAGCTTTTCAGGCTGGACACAGGAGGTTTTGGAAATATTGAGTTCTCTGTGGATGTTAAGGATGGCATAATCTTCTTGTCAGTTCTTTTTTCTTTTTTCTCTATGACCTGCACTGTGTACACCATGCTTAGGATGGCACAGCATCCTCAGGATGAGAGGGAAAAAAAGAGCAGAGCAACAAGCACCATGTCTACACAGACTGTCACAGAGGAGAAAGAAACCAGACGCAAGA